GAAACTTAATCCTTACATTCAAAAACTGAAAAAGCGGTGCGCTTTACTTCCTTTTTCGCATATTCATTTGCACGGGTATATTCACCGTATACAACGGGTAACGCGGGGGAGTCGCTTAAAAGTATGGGGGAGTCGTTTTCAACGTATGGGGGAGTAGATTTTCACCGCTTCGGAGTCAGAAGAGATGTGGGTCACGTCTTTTTTCGGTATTTATAAGATGTATTTACACAAAACAAACAGTCCACGGAAGGTAGCAATAGTTAAGCTTTGTCTTGGTCATTTATTCGTCAAGCATATACGTCTAGTTTTCTCAAACACTTTGAAACTATTCGACAGATTTCATATTTACGTTGATCGAGTGGTTAAAATGTGCATGATTTGCACAATCTACGGCTTGTGTAGGGATTCCGACAGTTAAAACTGCAAAAACAAACGTTCATCTTTAATATGCAACAATTAAAAAGTGTCTAGACTTTATAGAAATTAATAATAAATACATTTTCTCTTCAGACTGTAATGGTAACGTAGGGGGGAGTCGTGTCTGAAAAAACACAAAGTATGGGGGAGTTGCAAAATAAAGTCTAATGCAAAAACTGCCAATATATTTTTATTTATTCAAAGATATCTAGAAATCGATGTTTGGTTAATTCTTTTATAATTTGAAGTTTTGACAAGGGATTGTTTTCTGTGGCTTTATAGGTTCTAGAAAAAAAGCAGCAATATACATGTTCAATTAGATTATATATCTTCGGAGCACATATGCTAGGGAACAAGACCCCCCCCCCCTCCTAATATGTATTTTTCTTACATCTCAAAAATTCAAAAAGAATACAAACCCTCACTTTCATCATTGACAGCCTCTCCATAAAGACGACAACCAGATTTATGATATAGGAAATTTTGTAATATCAATCAGTATTTTCTTAGAAAAAGGGAAAGCTCTGGTGCGTCAGTCCCGCCCCTTGACTTTTTTTTGGGGGGGGGGGTTAAATTTTTATACATATGCTCTCAATTTGGTCCACATATAACATTCATAATCAAATCATTTATTTATCATTTAAAGTAACACATCGTCAGGCACCAACGAATTAGTACGCTAAATAAGAATATTTTGGATAATCTGGGGTTTATACACATATGTTAATATACATATTAACATCCTGAAGACGGGACTGCAATGCATATTTCCCCAAGCGCTGGAAATGTATGTCTACAATATGATAAATAAAGAGAGAAATGTAAAAATAATTAACTGCAAACTCTAAACAGATCAAATACCAAAATATTTCTTCACTGTATACATTTAATTATTTGATACCCTCCCTTAACTTTTCGCAGGTACATGTATATACAGTTCCTCAGAATATGACCCCCCTCCTTTTTAGCACTTTTGTGAATACATACAATGACGTATTGTTACATACCAGTAGAGGAAAACAGTGTGTTCTTTAAAAAAATATTTCAATAAAGTAAGAATTTCACACTTTAAAAACTTGTAAATTTCTTGTAACTAATATTTTAAATCATTGAAATGCACACCCATTAACCATTTATCAAATTAAAGACACGTAAATTGAAATAAAGAAATACATGTACTAGTATTCAAAAAGATGCCTCTCATTATATTTGTTTTGTGTTCCCTGATTATCCATGCGGCATTTAAACTGCAAGTTGACATACGTGTACATGTATAATGAGCACAAGTACATGAAATGTTCTTTCGCAGGCACGAAATTTTTGAAAGGGGCGACCAGTACTATATTCATAGAAAGGGTTCCACAGGCAACATGCGTTTTGTCGGACCGATCGAAGAACCAAACTGTTTGCCCGAGGCTGTTAGGCCGAAGGCACATAGTTTTTGCGGGGTCGACAAAACGCATTTTCGACCGAGAACACATTCGATAAATGATTTGTTATAACTTTTACTGTTTACTATGATATTACTATCATGAAATTTTGTTTGCCCGAACTGCAGTTTAAACTTGGTCATTTCCGTAAATTTCTGACAGCTGACCCCACCCACACTGCAGTGCAATATCTCATCGACAGGTCCAACATCTCGCTCCACAGTCAAGCAGTGATTTATCTGACCGCTCAGGAAAACAGTATAAAGAAAGACTATATTTTTTTAGCAATTTTTTTTTTACAACAACAATTTTTCAAAAGAATGACAAAAAAAGAAAGGAAAAAAAAAAGAATTATAAACAACTTACCTGAAATTTGTAACAAGCAAGAAAAATGGTTTGTAGAATGAGGTTACAATTTTATTTATACATTAGGAAATATAACTATTCTGCACCAAAACGTTGTCCAGAAGGTTCTTCATACTACGTGCCTGTTTCGTGAAATTTTTATTCCGGGTAAGGGCAAAGTCTGAAGCTCTAATGATATTAAGAGCTATAAAATATTTAAATATCATGTCCTCATTCCAAAATATATTCTTTAGAAGAATTTATTTATGTTATGTTTGAAGGAATGTGGCGAAGCTAAAGTCCCCTTTCCTAACCCCTACCCTCTTTTCAATATTTATAGTTTTTTCTTCGACATTAACTGCCTAACGGTACATGTATTTAATTTAAAGTGCTGAAATTTTTGAAATATGCCACTGCTTATCCGTGCAGAAACTAAAACAATATATTTCCATTTCTAATTTTTTTTCTCTGCGATAACTCTTTGAAATTTGTCGGAGTTTATTCCTTGATAATTCTGCCGGAATGTTAATTAGGCAGGTCGATAGGTCAGGAGCTAAGGAGGCCTAAAATGCATGCAAATCTCGTGCGCATCTGTCTCTGTGTCTGACGCCAAGGAGGCAAAATGTGCATGCAAATCTCGTGCGGCTGCCTAGGTGTTTGACGTCATTGAATGAGGACTATTGAAATTGGCATGGAAGTCCTCATGTAATTTAAATATATATTAGTGTATTTTTTAAAGTGATAAATGGGATAATTTAAGCATAACGGGCTTCGCCCATTATGCAAATTATTCCATGTTTCCCACTATTGTTGATGCCCTGGCATACTCTCCTAACTAGACAGTGATTCCTTAAGTACATGTAGTAAAGTATATGAAGTACTGGTATATGCATGCTCATGTACTTCACAATAGGGAAGTTTTACTTGTACATATTGCATATATTGAGCAATTTTTTTAATGCATGTTACATTTTACTAATATTATTAAAAAAGTGTAAGGAAGCCTTTAGCAAACGAAAAGTTGAAAATTAAAATGATAGTAGTATTCAACTGTGCGACTCCCCCATGCGTTGTGTTTTTCCAGAAACGACTCCCCCCTACGTTACCATTACAGTCTGAAGAGAAAATGTATTTATTATTATTTCTATAAAGTCTAGACACTTTTTAATTGATGCATATTAAAGATAAACGTTTGCTTTTGCAGTTTTAACTGTCGGAATCCCTACACAAGCCGTAGATTGTGCAAATCATGCACATTTTAACCACTCGATCAACGTAAATATGAAATCTGTCGAATAGTTTCAAAGTGTTTGAGAAAACTAGACGTATATGCTTGACGAATAAATGACCAAGACAAAGCTTAACTATTGCTACCTTCCGTGGGCTATTTCTTTTGTGTAAATACATTTAATAAATACCGAAAAAAGACGTGACCCACATCTCTTCTGACTCCGAAGCGGTGAAAATCTACTCCCCCATACGTTGAAAACGACTCCCCCATACTTTTAAGCGACTCCCCCGCGTTACCCGTTGTATACGGTGATATTGTTACGCAATACCATTGCGCTTTGAAAAACCACGCAGTTCGTCAGTTTGTAAGAGATAGGGGAATACCCCTTCCAATTTTGGAAAAATGGACTAGGGACTGAACATTAGGACTATTTTGCACTATCCTAATGCAAAAAATTAAAAGGTAAATGCTTTTCACTTTTGTAATTTATTTTAAGTCAATTAAAAATTCATCTTTGCAAAACTTTTCTTTTTTAGACCTTTTGGAGGATACACTATTTTACTTCTTTTAAAACCCTGTACTTTTTGTAATTCTGGGTTCACGGTGGATGGGTTCAATCACCAGTGGCCAGATAACCCTGTACAATGTTTAGAAACACCAGAGATCTAACATTTAACACTCATGCTTAACAATAACAGTGAAACCTGCCGTGAAACCTGTCTGATGAGAGGCCTGCAGGGGAAGAGCCTGGGTTGGTGTCCAGTTAGTGTGCCTACACCTATTGAAGAAGGGGAGGGGGTATGGTGGTATGACAGATTTGATTTTGCCAAGTAGCCAGATGGCTTAGTTTAGAGCATTGTATGGACCTATTCGGGGGTAGGGGGCTTTTTCCCCAATTTCTCTCCCATAGGAGTCAATGCATGTTCATTGCAAATCAGAATCCTGGTTATAGCACCAGTAATATAGGAGCATAGCCTAAAATGTATTTACAGACCAGGATTAAACCTGAACCTAAACCTGGGCAAAATTGGAAATATCCTTACCAGTTATGTGTTACAATCAAAACAACAAAAGGTATTCTGCCTAATGGTGATCAAACATCTTACTGGAAACACAGATTTAATTTGTGTCCAAATCCAGATGAGCTGTTTTCAATTATACATGAATGTATGACCAAAAATCAACTATATTTCAACCCAAAATATGTGGCTTTAACAATAATACAAGATTTACTTATAATTTTAAGAATGAAAGCATTATAACTGACAAAGAATTTTTTTCTAGGAGATGTAGCTAGCATCAGTACATACAGGAGCATAGCCTCACTATTTACAACTCATAACTAATTGTTTAACTGACTGTTACAAGTGGAAAGAACTTGGAAACAATCAAATGAGACTAAAAATAGAGGTTGCATAAATTGCAAACAGATTGTTCAAGTGTCAGATAAGACCATTTTCACCATGTTCACTATAGTTGTATACTGTGGAAATGATAAAAAAAAAATTCAAAATAAATTGAATCTTTGAAAACTTGAAAAACTAAAAATATGACCTTTAATATTTGTCTTTATTACAATTGAGGTAGGCGTGTTTAAACAAATCGTCATGACAACAGAGGGCGTGTTTGCTGGTTGTCAGGTTGTCCTTGACCTCAGCACCAGCGTCGGTTTCAAGAAGAAACAGGAAGTCAGAAAAACCATAACAAACAATGGTGGAATTATTTCCTACATTGTATAACAAAGAAGGTATGCATATCAAATTAATACTAAAAAGAGGGTTATAAATTTTGCAAGTGTCCATGTTATTTTCACCCTTTTATCATGTTTATATTTGCTAACAATTTTGCCCCATTTGAAATTCCCAGTCACAGTTCAGTTTAAGAATTTTTTCTGTACTCTTTGAATACACTCCATTTAAATTTGCTCACTAGTGACAAGGGTGAAAGGGGCATAAAAAAGGGGCACAAAAATTTCCCTGTATACAGTTTATAGTAATTTTCTGCATGAATAAAGTGTCTAGTTTTGTAAAAGTGTTGAAGTGTACAAAACTGATGATTTAAATTGTCCATAATGTAGCAGAAAGGTTTTAAAGTTTTTTTAATCCCCAGAAAGAAACTATGCATGTTTTTGCATTTGGAATAGGGGATTTTAAGGGGCCCAAGTTTATAGGACAGCTGAGAATCTTGCTTAATGAAAGGCATTTTCTAAGATTTATGCATTCAGAATACTGACTTTTCTTACAGAGTACTCATGTTGTGCTCAACGATCCAGAGAAAGCTGACGTCAGCTACAAATGTAAAATGGCCGAGAAATTCCGAATCCCAGTGGTGAGCCTCGATTTTATATTTGACTGTGTTGACCAAGGGAAGCAACTCAACACTGATGATTATCTCCTTGTGGGGAAAACAAAGGCTCAGGAATTCAGCAGCGGCAAAATAATGGGTAAGGACAAATAAAAAATGAAAATAGAAACTCAACAGCTGTTTTTGACTTTCTGCAGTACAGGAAGGAAGGTTGGTTGGTCATTGTTTTTTTTTTACATCCTTATTAAATTCTGGGTTGTTAATTAGTTGTTAAAACTGCAGGTTTAGATCTGTATTTGGCTTTACAAGGAAGGAATTGGTAATGGCTAAAATAAATTTCCATGTCAGGTTCTTTTTTGTACAATTCTAAACATGAAAAAAGAGAACAGATAATTTTAGAAAGATCAGTTTTGATATTTTGATTGATGGTTGATTAAATTTTTATTGCAAATTAATAACAATAAAAACAACATTTTAATATTAAATAAACTCTTTGAATTCATCAAATGATAACACTATTATTTTTTTCTTTTTGAAAAGCTGGAAAATCAGGACCTAAACCTGAGGGGAAAAAGAAGAAAATGGTGTCTAGTTTTAACCCCAAGTCTGTGAAAGTTTGGCAGGAGGGGGATAAAAACATGCCCCAGTATGACAATGGGAGTGATCTGGCCAAATTCGCCATGCTTCAGGTCAGTTATAAACTGAAGATGCTCTAGGAATTCAAAATTATCATAAGTGATTATCTTATGTTACATTTACCAAGTTTTTAGGAATTACTCATCTGCATAATTTTCTGTAGTAGGGAAAATAGGTCTTGGTATATTTTTTCGATGATGTTGAATTGAAATACCAGTATATTTATTTTTAGACAAATCAATCTAATTTATGAATAATTAAGGTTCCTAAGAGATATTTCTATGTATTTTACAGAAATATGACAAGAAGACACAAATAACCCAGTTCTGTGTGCTGGAGATTCATGTATCAAAAAGAGTTATTCCCCTTGACAACAAGGAACAGTCTCCTAGGTTTTGTATCTGTTCTCACCAGGGCAGTGTGCAGGAAGTACAGGTGTGTAGTACCAACATATGAAACAAATATAGGATTGTCAGTGGTTTATTGTTCGATATAATTTTTATCCAATGAGTTCTGTGTTTTCTTTTTATTCACAAGCCTTAAACATGTTAAGGTGCATAAAGATTCCTTTTATCACATGCTTTAAAACATAGGCACATAGCTATTAAAAGTTTTATGAATCTTTTTTATTTTTTCTAAATTTCATAAGAAACCCTTTTGGGACGTTCACATCTCGAAAAAGAAATGTCATGTGTAACTGAAATTTAATGTATAAAAGGAGTAAACATGATAATTGAGCTTAATAAATGTACTTAAGCTTCTAACATTTTAATACATTTTGAATTTTGGAGACCGGGATACAATCACAGATTATTTTTTGCTTAATTTTCCAGGACAAGCCAGGTAGTGGCACTAGAGAGTTCCGATTTGTACAGACGTCAGAGGAAGCCCTGAGTGTGTTTAGCGCCCTCTATAAACAGATGACAGAGTCCCCAAATAGCATGACTGTCTGTCGGAAACCCCCATGTCAGCATATCGGATCAAAGAAATTTCAAAAGGTATATCATTCTTCAGAATGATATAGAGATGGACTAGAGCCATTGATACTGTATGCAATGTATCTTTTAACTTTATATATCCTACTGGAAATCATATAATCATACCGTGTTTCAAAATTATGAAATACAGTTGACTTTATATGTAGCTGTGAATATATCAATCAAGTAATTTTTACTTTCAGAATATTTTTATTCAGAGTGCAATTATGGTACAGAGTTTAAAAATATGATGTGATAAATTGAATCTTTGAATTAATATTTTTCTTATAACATTCAGATGATGGTTGAGTATGGTATGGAGGATACAGAGTTATCTACCCCTGTGAAGGAGCTGATGCATCACATCTGGCAGGAAGCCGGGGGCGAGATAGAGGAAATCCTTAGTAGTCCACTACAATCACTAAAACTAGACCAGGTCAGTAGGTCAAGGTCATAACAGACCAGGTCAGTAGGTCAATACAGTCACTGAAACTAGACCAGGTCAGAAGTTCAAGGTCATAACAGACCAGGTCAGTAGGTCAATACAGTCACTGAAACTAGACCAGGTCAGTAGGTCACTACAGTCACTGAAACTAGACCAGGTCAGTAGGTCACTACAATCACTGAAACTAGACCAGGTCAGTAGGTCACTACAATCACTGTCAGTAGGTCACTACAATCACTGAAACTAGACCAGGTCAGTAGGTCACTACAATCACTGAAACTAGACCAGGTCAGTAGGTCACTACAATCACTGAAACTAGACCAGGTCAGTAGGTCACTACAATCACTGAAACTAGACCAGGTCAGTAGGTCAAGGTCAATCAACTCACTGAAACTAGACCAGGTCAGTAGGTCACTACAGTCACTGAAACTAGACCAGGTCAGTAGGTCACTACAGTCACTGAAACTAGACCAGGTCAGTAGGTCACTACAGTCACTGAAACTAGACCAGGTCAGTAGGCTACTTCAATCACTGAAACTGGACCAGGTCAGTAGGTCAAGGTCATTACTAGGGGTGGATATCGCCAGAAAAACTATATTGCGATATATTGCAATATTTGATGGCATATTGCGATGAATATTGCAATATATTGCTTTGCTGTCCATTTCATGTAAAGTTTGAAGTGAACCGAAAAATAGTGTATCTATAAACTTAAAATACCATATCTGATCATTTCACGTCAGATAATGTTTGCTGTTCACTGTTTATTTAGTTCCCTGTCAAAGTGTCTTAGTTATTTGTGTAAGAAATCGACATATTTTTCGAGTAAAATTAAGACAGTCGACATGTTCTCCTTTTCTTAAAAAAATAACTTCGTAAAAATTCAGAAACTGTTGTTTTATGTCATATCTCAACTTTTCTTTTCTTTTTTTTTTAAACGTGGTATGTGTCCTCAGACATAGGAATCAGAATATTTAAGCATCACAAACCTACACTGGCTAAACATCGTTTATAACATTTTTTTCGTCCGCCATTTTGATCAAGAAAAGTACGAAACCAGAGTATAAGTTTTCTGGAAAAAATTAAGTGTTGTTGAATTGAATCTTCAACATAATCCTTGTGATGATTGTAATAATTAATCCTTTTAATTCCATGCTTACCTTTTACACACTGTTGCAATGTCTATTTACTAACAAAAACAAACTTTACAACTGCAAATACACCATATTTAGCATTTGTGTAATACTTCCGGTTTGCATATCGTCAATACCGGTATTGAAAAAATATATTGCAATATATTATCGTTGGGTTTAATATTGCAATATACCGATATATCGATAATATTGCACACCCCTAGTCATTACAGACCAGGTCATTGGGTCACTACAGTCACGGATACAATACCAGGTCAGTATGTCAAGGTCATTAGAGACCAGATCAGTAGGTTAGTTATGTCACTGAAACTGAACAAGGTCAATGTAATTACAGATCAGGTAAGTAGGTCACTACAGTCACTGAAACAGATCTTTATGTGAGGTCACTATAAATATATCATTAGCTTCATATAGTTAGTGAAATTGTGACAATAGATTCATTTGTTATTTAAAAGTCTGTAGTTGAGCAACAACTAGTCAAATTTCATATGTAAAAGCAGCAGATTATCATCATTAATTTAATCTGTCATCCATATTTCTAACTTGACAATGCAAGATTAACTTTTCTAGAAAACTCCTCAAACCATTTAAATGCTAGATTAATCACTTCCATTTTAGGTTGAGAAGGCGACGGCCATTTTGTCTGAGATGAAGGAGAACCAATCAGATGAGAGTAAGCTACAGAGTCTGTTTACCGAGTTCTACTCCACGCTCCCCCACAATCCCCAGCACAAGACCACGACCTTCACCTTGTCATGGCTGGCCAGGAAACTGGACCTTTGTCAGGTACAATGTGTTATTGAATTAGTTGCATGTCCTTGATATGGAATTTCTTTGTGCTAGGAGACTAGGATCTGTATTCTGACATGGAAATCAACAATGCTTTATTTACATGACTGTACTACATGTACTATGTAAGAAAAAGACAATCATTTATGCATTACTTGAAGTGTCTTTGACTGATAAAAAAAAAATTGTTAAAAAAATTAATTTTCATAATGTTCAATGTACATGTCGATTTTCTTGAAGCCGACACATGTTATGTAAGAACAGTACCTGAAAATGTCTATTAAAATAACAGGCTAATATTATATTGAGACAGTCTTGAGATGATGTGGTTTTTGTGTTGTAGCTGATTAAGGACGTGGTGTCCGTGAGTGAAGCTACAGACTGGTCTACAAGGGGGAACACGGAGGCCCAGTACAAAGCCCTCAGATGTCAGATATCTCACGTTCCCGGGGGTCTACCAACACCAGTCAAAAACGTTCTCAATCTTAAGGAGTAAGTACAAACCTGTATAGTAGTCAGATATCACAAGTACAAAACCCTCATATGTCAGATATCACAAGTACAAAATCCTCAGATGTCAGATATCACAAGTACAAAACCCTCAGATGTCAGATATCACAAGTACAAAACCCTCAGATGTCAGATATCACAAGTACAAAACCCTCAGATGTCAGATATCACAAGTACAAAACCCTCAGATGTCAGATATCACAAGTACAAAACCCTCAGATGTCAGATATCACAAGTACAAAACCCTTAGATGTCAGATATCACAAGTACAAAACCCTCAGATGTCAGATATCACAATTACAAAACCCTCAGATGTCATATCACAAGTACAAAACCCTTAGATGTCAGATAACACACACATCCCTGGGGGTCTTCCAACACTGGTCAAAAACATCCTCAATCAAAGTAGTATAAGTATGTTCAAACTTGTAATTATAGTAGTCAGACAAGATAATCTCTTGAGTCTGTTAGTGTTAAAGACAGTCAAAGATTATCATATTAAAAATTAATATTAGAGTAAAGTGGTGGGAAGTGGTAAAATCTCATAATTGGTGATTAGTTTCTTGTAACATTATTGCTTATCTTACTGGGTAAGTGTGGATTCTGAAAGGCCTGAATGTTGAGTTAAAGCCAAAATGTTATCCAACCTAGATGGCAGCTAATTTATTGTAAATGTCACAGCTTCATATTTTGTGTACCTATTGCTTACTGTTTGTTTCAGTGAAGATAAGTTAAATGTACAGAATGTTTATGCCGTTCATCGTCCTGGTGAGAGTGAGGTGTTCCGGGCAGACTTAAATTCTAGACTTCTCTTTCATGCATCCAATGTGGAAAACTTTGTAGGAATTCTCTCCAGGTAATGAATGCTAGACATTACCTTTGATGCCAGTTGAAGCATATTCATTTATGTAATGTTCATGTGTAACAGCATTGAAAACTAGATATGGGATAAAGTGAGCTTGCCTGCTATTGATAAATTTATTCTTGACTAGATCATTTTTTGCTTTATTAACAATTTAAACTTACAAGCACCCAGTATTGACTCTCTTGATTGGATATTTATCAGAGGTCTCCTGATGCCAAAGGTCGTCGTCGATGACTACGGAGGGAAGAGAACAGACCCGGGAATGCTGGGAAATGGAATCTATTTCGCCAGTTCTGCTAGGTTTGTTTATAGTAATGACAATGTAAGATTTATTTAAAAACAGAAAATTTTACTTGAAGTGATGTATTTCAATCAAATGCCAGTGTCAGGATGTATATAAAATATTTCGAACAATCTCATATTGCAAATTTATTATATTTAATGAATGATAAGTACTGTACCCACACTATTGCTTTGGACAACCACAAAATCAAGAAATAAGGGAGGATAAAGGGAATTCTAAAATATTCTTACATTCATTTGAAAGTTATTAAATCATTATTTTCTTCTCATGTTTAAAGGATAGTTAGCTTAATTGCCATCCAGTCTTTTGAAAGATGAACTTTAATTGTCACAGTAGGAATATAGAACATAAATAATTAATGTCTTAATTAAAAAGCAAATTCATGATTTATGTTTTCATTCTTTGTCCAGCACAAGCATAAAATACTCAAAGCCAAGTAAAACAAGGAATACAAGAATGATGTTGGTAAACCTGGTGGCTCTGGGGAATACCCTGGATGTCTATAAATATCAGCGGGACCTCACAGAGCCCCCTAGTGGCTACAACAGTGTTCATGGAGTGGCGGCGACGGAGGACTTAGAATCAGATTTTACGGTGTGTTAATGAAGTGATGAGGTTTCCTCCCCAGTTACATGTTATAGAAATGATAAGGATTTTCTTGTGACTGAAGTAATTTTAATATATTTTTGAAATAGAGTGATGGACATTTTTAAGGCAAATTGTCATATGTAAAACAAGTACTAGTGTTATATAATGGTGTAACCCCCCCCCCCCAAAAAAAAAAAAAGAGTGTCCCCACAAACACCCCCTCTCTTCAGCCTTCATACCCCCCACCTATTCTTTCTAGAATCATTTATTTTCAAAATAAAATTTGAAAAAAAATAAATTGCCACCCATGCAGTAACAGTTTGATGTTTGAATTGTACAAGTCAGTATTAAGATGACTTCAGCATAAATGTGCATACCAGTGTTACACTAGAGTGAATATCTTTGCCTGCTTAACTTTGATACCTTGTTCCTCTTGTGTACATTTTCTCCATTTTTGTGACAGGATGATGAGTATGTGGTGTACAGTACAGACCAGCAGATGTTGAGTTATCTGGTGGAGTTTACCGTGGGAGGGGAGATACCAGGGGAGTTATCAATGGAGGAGGAGATAGAAAGGGAGACAACTGACTCAGATACAGATGTCGGTTAGTTCAGTGTTTGATCTTTTGTTATACAATATGTCAGGTACCCTATAATTTTATTACATAATTTTGCTAAATATACATGTACAATTCAATATAGTTTGATAAAATTTTAAAATTGTTTCTAAAGGATTAGTAAAAAGTGTTTATTGTGCCCTCTGACATTCATAAAAATCTCTTCATGATGAAAGTGAATACATATACAATAATTTGTTCATTTTTCAGATATCAGTGATGTGAAAAATGTGACTGACCCTCTGACCAAGGTCAAGGTTGGACTGGTTTCCAATGATGACACGCCTGTGTCCCTCATAGAAGCCCACATCAGAGCCAAACTGATTGACCTGGCAGGAGAGGTAATGTAGGCCAAAGTGAATTAGTCAAACGTGAACGTCCTTTCTTATTATTAAGTTCCTATTATGTTTTATCAGATAAGAGATTACTTTGCAGTTCTTTATTTTACATTTTATAGATACTCAATATACAAAGATACTCAGATTCAAATATGACTCCATTTATAAACATGAATTTAGTATTGTATATAACCTTGTTTGTGTCAGTTTACGCTTTATAATCTGCGAAGCTTTTTAGATATTACATGTAACTGATCAGAGGCTAGAATACGTCAAACAAAGTGAAATTATTAGATTAATATTTGCAAGTTTGTTTAATACCTATTCTTCTGTATGAAAACAACAGGTAGTGGTTCTACAAGAGTACCATAACAGTAGTGACAAAGCTCTGGAAGCAAAGTACGTCTTCCCTCTGGATGACATGGCCGCCGTCTGCGGATTCGAGGCTTTCATTAACGGTAAACACATCATAGGGGAGGTGAAGGAGAAAGAGACCGCCCACAAAGAATACAAACAGGCCATCAAAGAGGGGCACGGGGCGTATCTAATGGACCAAGATGAGGAAACGCCAGTAAGTCAGAAATCATGGGGGAAAATCATGAATTCAAATTCCTTGGGCTTTTTGTCACTGTTGTGGGTGAAAAGCAAACAATTACTAGGTACATGCATTGTCAGTGAGTTTTATTTGTTCTCTATATTCCAATGAACAGAGAACCTTTAATTAACAAGGATTAATAATAAGATTTTAATTTCATAAGATTTGTGTCTTTATATGTCTCATAATGATTTTATATTGATCATGAGCATTTGTTATCATGCATTTTTTTGAATTATGAATATACCAGGTATATTCCGTTAAGTTTTTCGTTGAAGTAATATGATAACCTGTACATAGTTTAATTGTTGGAGTAATATGGGAGCTTAATGTATCCGCTTCTTTGGTCTATTTATAGGAGGTATTCACAGTGAGTGTGGGAAACCTCCCCCCTAAGGCTACCGTCATCATTAAGATAACCTACGTCACAGAGCTGCAGGTCGACGGGGAACTCATCAACTTCCGACTCCCAGGCAGCGTGGCGCCATGGAAACAGAAGTATGTCGACGCCCCAGAATTCAAAGACAAGGTTTGTGCATTTTAAAGGAAAAGGAATGAATACCTGCAGTTTTTTGTAGATTAATTTATTAAATTCATTGAAAAACATTGAATCAGAATTGTGCTTTTGTATGAGAACAGATGATAATACTAAGGAAGTCAAACTATAGACTGAAATGTTATTGAGTATTTTTTCAGAAAGTTTGGTTTTTATTTTGTCATGTTGATATAACTTGTTCCTTTTTCATGTGCGTGGTAAATCATACTTCATTGTTTAATTGATACACAGTGCTAAATGATATGAGGAATGATTATATTTGATGTCTGATTTTCCTCCTCAGGACTGGGATACAGTACAGGTTGAGGACACAGACTGCAGTGTACAGGTTTATGTTGACATGCCTTTTGACATCAGAAGTCTGGAATGTCCTACTCACAAAATTCTTGTAAAGGTAAAACCCTCACACTACACTTGTCTGGTGAATTTTAATGAAAAGTACAATGTACTATTGCATTAGACCTATGGCATTTTATTATTTTCACATCTCCAGAAAAATAATAGTGAAAGTGATAAAACATTTCTTTTTTAATGGTTAATATTATGAAACAGTGTTATATCAAAATGATAATATGGTGATGGCACCTTAAAAATTATACCTTCTGTTGTTAGTGCAATGAGTACAACCTCAGGAGGATAAATAAAAAGTACAATAAATAAATACACCAGAGGGTGAGTACATTAAGGGTGTTGTATTCTGTAGAGAACGGCCACTAAAGCCACGGTCGAGATGAAGGAGGACCAGACAATAGAAGATGGCTTCCAGCTTCTGATTGGTCTAGCTGAGATCCACGTACCCAGGATGTGGGTGGAATCCGACGAAGGCCAAGATTCACAGGTATTCTATTAAAGTTGTGTATCATTTTACCTTGGGCGTATTATTTCATTTGAAAGATAATAAGCTTGATAAATGGTTAAATGCATTAAGTACAACTGCAAGTAAAAGGGATTTAATGAAACTTACCCTTTGAAATTGATCATATTTATTTGATTAAGAGGATAATGATGATTTATTGTAATGTTTTTTAAAAAGCTTAAATTAGATAGAAGACATATGCGTTGCATTAGTGTCAACTTCCTTTTTCAGCAAAGCATATATTAACTTGAAATACATGTATGGTACAATTCTGCAGAAAGTCTAAGATAAATGCATTTTGGTTTATTTGAATTGAATTTTTAATGACACCGAGGCTAGTCTCACAAAATTTTTACTGAGTTTTAATATTCTGTAAGTTAATCACCATTAGATTAATCATTGATATGTTTACTTTTTTAATTATCAGGCCTGTATGCTGACCTTTTACCCTGAGTTTGAGGCGGAGGAGGAGTCAGAGGTCGAGGTCATTCTGATGATTGACAGCTCCAACTCCATGAAAGGCTCCGCCCTCCAACAAGCCAAGAAAACGGCTCTCCTGACCCTACACCTCATGGAGTCCAGCTGGAGATTTAATGTGGTGTCTTTTGGAACAGGTAACATTTTGGGAAATGATTTTAGACAGAATAGAATTAATATAGTTATAAAAAAAAAACAGTAATAGCAATCCTACATACATTGTATAATGAGTATATGTACTATGCTTACAGCAAAGTGATCTTTATTCCTTGAGATACATTGTATGCACACAATTACTGTAGAAGTACTTTTTTCCGCGTGGTATTAATCTACGCAATGTACTCGCTTACAATTTTTCCGCGGAAATTTGTCCAAGCGTACTTAATATAAATGTAAGGCACATATAGAGACAATCTAGAAAATCCGCGTAATTTTATACCTGCGGATTAAACAGAAATTGAGATTCCGCGGAATAATGACCACGTGGAAAAAGTACGTCTACAGTATATTTTTGGGAGCAAGAAATTAATTAAGCTTTTAACAAAATTAAAATTGTTTTTCTCAGGTAATTTGCATATAAATTTTTAGTACATGTAGCTAGCTGTTCATACTTTGCCTGTTGAAAGAATTAATTGGTATCTCCCTGATCTGTACATCTTATATTAACATAAAATATGCAGAAGTATTTTAATTCATTTTAAATTTAGAATTTAAGTCATCTTTCTGTTGAATTTTGTATGTTGCAGCTTTCCAAGAGCTTTTCCCGTCCAGCCAGCTGGCCAGTAAATTTAACATACAATCAGCAAAACAGTTCATACAGGCAAGAAATAAAAATTTTAAAACACTTACCACTTTCAAATTGATCAGTGAAATTGAACAATACAGTTATGAAGTACTGCTTGTATTTGAATTTTTAATTTTTCTTTTGATTTCTCTCTCAGAGGCTGCAAGCAGAGGAAGGTAACACAGAACTTTGTCGACCTTTGAACTCTTACTACCTCCTAAAACCAGAGAGTTACACTAGGAATATCTTCCTGATCTCTGATGGCCATATTAACAATGAGGAGACAACTCTGTCCAAAATCTCCCAAAATTACCAGCACACCAGAGTCTTTACACTAGGGGTCAGGTAATGTCAGAAAATATTTCTATAGAATTTGTTTGAAAAAAAATATTAAACAGTGTACATGTACATATAGTAACATTGATTAGCAGGAGGTGGGGGGGGGGGAGTTCATTATTTTAACATTTTTTGCATTAATTTTAATAGAATTTAATTTAATTCAGTTACTGTAACAGTTTTATATAAGCATATTAATAAGTTTATTTCTTTCATATCATATTTACAGCTCTGTGGCCAATCGTCACCTACTGAAAGCTGTGGCCAGAGTAGGAGCAGGGTCATTTGAGTTTTACGACTCCAAATTCAAATCCAAGTGGGAGGAAAAGGTAAATATTTTGTCTTCAAATTAAAAAAACAAATTAAGATAGCATAATGGCAGTTTTTTCCCCTCCATATTCCAATTCCCCCTCTCTGATTATCAATCCAACATTTTCTATTTTAAGGTCAAGTCCCAGTTACAGAAAGCTGCCCAGCCAGTGCTGACCTCTGTATCTGTTGATTGGCGCCATGACGACCAGCACCCTGCTCCCATCCAAGCTCCGCAGCAAATAACCGCCCTGTTTAGTGGGTCCCGACAAGTCATTTATGGCTTTGTGGACAACTGTTACATGGTTTGTATTGCATGTATTTTGTTCAAAAGAAATCCATAATTTTTTTGGGCCTTGAATTTGAGTTTTATAGTTAAAAAGTTAGAATAATTTAGTTCTGAATCAACATTTTTGGTACTGATAATTTTTAAAGTTACAGGGACCATTATTTTTTAGCTCTACTGGTCAGAGACCAGAAGAGCTTATGCGATAGTAATGCGTCCGGCGTCTGTCTAGCTGTCCGTCTGTCTGTAAACAATTTTTCAAAATGCTACTCCTGCTACAGTTTTGGTCTAATTTCAATATAACTTGGCACACAAGTAGACTACACTAAAATACATAATTCTGTGTATCGGTTTTTGATTTCGATGAACGGTGTTGCCGTGGTTACTAAAAATAGAAATTTCTGTGAAATTCTTTCAAAATGCTACTCCTCTTACAGTTTTGGTCTGATTTCAATATAACTTGGCACACAAGTAGACTACACTCAGAACATAAAGAGACTTTATCAACGATCATTATTCTATTCATTGCTGTTGTAAATTAAGTTTCAAATCCCAGCTGCTAAAGTACTTTTCTCTTCCTTTGCTATAAGTTCAAACCAGTAGAGCTTCAGTCTCGACAGAGACTTCTGGTTAGATTATGCACCAATGAAAGAGAAGTGCTTTGTTTAGTGAATATATTTTGTGTTTTATTGGTATTTTAACTTAACTGAATGACAGTGTAAATTTACTATTTCAGGCAACTCTGAAAGCAGAGGTTGGAGGTCAAGAGATATCAACAGTTGTGTCGACCTCTGACCTTAGTGTCACAAAGGGCAAGGTCAGTTTTACAACTCACAGATAAATACAGACAAAAATAAAATCCCCTTCAGGCTGATAGAATGTCAGGCTTTTGCAATAAATTACAACAATTCTTACCATCAAGATTTTATAAGACATCCTTTCTAATGATTTTTATTTTTCCTTTGAATTCAGCAGGGCTTTTGATGAACTGTTATATAGAATATTAGCCACTGATTCTGATTTATTTTTAGATGCTGCATAGGCTGACTGCCAAAGGGGTAATCAGAGATTGGGAAGATGGAGTTCTCTCCCCTGACAGAACAGGACATGAGGTAAAATAAACAAAAATAGAATTTGATATATATTGCAATTGATGAATTATTTTCTTAGCCAAAGCATCTTAAAAAGTTAAAAACATTATTATACATATCTCTTTAATGCAAAACTTTTGTATGTAGTAATATTTCCAAAGTACTGATTGTAGAAACATTTGTATTACAATTGACATGAATTTGATGGTAATTAATATACAAAATGTATTATTTATACAGTATGTATTTTTTTTGAATTTCAGGTGAGGAAAATGAACCTGAAGCAGTATATTATAGAGCTGAGTAAGAAGTATACCATCGTCACGTCACTCACCAGCTTTGTCGCCATCGAGAAACGAGAAAAGGTAATCACCTCTGAAATCTAGTTATTAGTAACTTTTTTATCTAAATTTTCAATTTTCCATCTAAATTTTATGGATCTCACGTCAAGAAAAACAACAGATTATGATAATCAAAATATTTTAAGATTATTGTACAACATTTCTTTGTTATGATTTTATAATCTGAAAGTCCTTTTGAGATTAACTTAAGTCTATACAATGTAATTAAAACTGAGAACATCAACATCTAAATGTAGGCACTTCCTTCTTAAAATATATATACTCCTTTGACTTTTAAATCTTTAAGTATCTAATATTTTAGCCATATACACGTACATGCATTATAGACACCATTTTGAAATTCACACTTCATGTTAATTTTTTAATGGACCCGTGGATTAATTAATTTGTAGGATGAGGTGATTCCAGAGGATGCTCCAGACGTCTGGGACCTCCTGGAAAACGAGGACGTGGATCAGCTGAAATATTTATCCTGGGAAGGAGAGGAGGTACATTTAATAGAACTCGCAGAAGAAAAAGTCACATGACCACTGATTTCTATTTGATATAGTAGAAATTTATCGCTGAATTTGCATCTCGCTAAAAGAAATACGCACGCTAACTCTCGATTCTCGCCTGCATTTTGGAACCATTTAATTCAATATAAATAGCAATTTGGCCATAAAATTTTTGTCTAAAACAAAGAACAGTTCAATGGTAATTAAATAATTGTCTTAATACCAGCGCTAAAGTAAATTATCCATAATTCCAGCTCTTGAGAAAAGGGGGGTAGACGATATTATTCACTAAAATCGGAGTTTCAAGCATCACCATATTTTGAAATAGTCTTGGAAATGATTAAATGTTCCTTATATCTTTTCAAATGTTCTAGACAAATAAATCTAACATAAATATATCAATAAGATATTATGTTTCAGATGTAAATCGCTTTGAAATTGGTGGAAAATACCTTAAAATCCCGAGTATTGGGCGCACTTTTTTTCGTCAGAAAAATGTTCAAAAGTAGGGATGCACTCAATACATCGGAACAAAATTCATCCCCCTTTTTTTCAGGTCACTTTCTCAGTGCCGAGGACCATTTTCCTGATCCATTTGAATTGATTACCCTTTTGTAACCAATTACGTCAAAGTTAATCGAATTTTAGAGAGTTATATGCATAAGTCCTACCTGTTGTAGAAATATACATATACCCTAAGTATTGAAATAAAGAAAACCGTTTCAAAAATCAAATTCTGATGAAAAACGATCTTTGTTTATATTTTATTTCCATTGCATATTCCGCCATTTTGAACTACCGTCGCTTATATCATCAACGAACAGCATGTCGCTTAAGACATAGATGTATTTAATTAATACCTATAAATGAGTCAAAAATAGATTCCAAGTGCTAGAAGGATTAGAAAGTGTTGACGACATCTGGGAAAATATGATAAAAGGTTACAACGAGACAGCAGACAGCATACTTGGGGTAAAAGAAAAGGGACAAAAACCATGGATAAGCAGGGAGTCTTGGAAGGTAGTAGAAGAGAGGAAGCAGCTAAAACTCCAACTTACCAACAGCAGATCAGAAAGATTAAAAAGAAGTTTAAGAAATAAATATTCAGTTAAAGACAGAGAGGTAAAACGCAGTATGAGGAATAACAGGAGAAAGTGGACAGAAGACATGATTACAGAAGCAGAAAGAGCAGCAAGTAATGGGCACATGAAAACAGTATACGAGATAACTAGAGTGTTAAGCAATGAAAAGAAAGGCATGACAACAGCAATAAAGGATAAAGAGGGGAAGATCCTGAGCAGTCAAGATGAAAGAAAGAAAAGGTGGAAAGAGCACTTTCAAGAAATATTAAACCGCCCGCAACCTGAACATCCATTAGAAGTTGAAAGCGAAGATCAAGAATTAGATGAGATGGATACAAGTCCCATACGAAAAGAGGAAATAGTGAAGGCTATAAAGAACCTGAAGAATGGAAAGGCTGGAGGAGTAGATGGAATAACAGCTGAATTGTTAAAGGCAAACACAGAGACAACAGCAAGATATTTGGAAAAACTGTTTTCAACAATCTGGAGACAAGAAACCATACCATCAGTCTGGAGTAAAGGCCTGATAGTGAAGATCCCAAAGAAAGGTGATAGATCGGTATGTGATAATTATAGAGGAATAACACTTCTATCTGTGCCAAGCAAAGTATTCTCCAGAATAGTAATACAGAGAATCCAAGATGGAGTTGAAAAACAGCTGCGTGAGGAACAAGCTGGCTTCAGAAGAGGGAGGAGTACAACTGAACAACTATTCACACTCCGAAACATCATAGAGCAATGCACCGAATGGAATTCAACATTGTTTATAAACTATGTTGACTTTGAAAAGGCATTTGATTCCATTCACAGAGAGAGCCTTTGGTCCATCATGAAGTTCTATGGCATCCCAGACAAATTGGTCAGAATGGTGAAACTCCTATATGAATCATTCCAATGTGCAGTCCTTGAAGATGGAGAAGAAACGGACTGATTCTGGGTATCAACAGGAGTGAAACAGGGCTGCACAATGTCTGGATTCCTATTTCTGTTGGTCATAGATTACGTAATGAAAAGAACTACAGAAAGCGAGCCAACAGGAATAAGATGGAATTTCACAACAAAACTGGAAGACCTAGACTTCGCAGATGATCTTGCCTTACTTTCCTCCAAATTTCAAGACATCCAACAAAAGACACAAAGACTCAATGAAACTGCTAAGCAAGCTGGCCTCAGAATAAACACCGAGAAAACTAAAGTGATGAAGATCAACTCAGACATAAAAGAAGCAGTCAAGATTGATGGACAAGACCTAGAAGATGTAGAAAAATTTACTTACCTTGGAGGCGTAATAACAACAAAGGGAGGTGCTGACGAGGACATTACCAACAGACTGGGAAAAGCTAAGTCCCAATTCGGAAGGCTCAGGAAAATCTGGAGCTCATCAAAGTTTTCCATCCAAACAAAAGTAAAGCTATTTAACAGCCTAGTCCTGTCAGTTTTAATGTATGGAAGCGAAACATGGAAAACAACAGAGAGAGACAAAAAGAAAATTGACACCTTCCAGAATAGATGCCTTAGAAAGATCTTGCGAGTAAGATGGCCCGAGAAAGTGTCTAATGAAGAACTCCATCAAAGAACAAAGACAGCTACAGCAAGTGAAATGATAACCCTCAGGAAGTGGAAGTGGATTGGCCATGTACTGAGGATGGATAACACCAGGATATGTACCACTGCACTGACATGGCATCCAGAAGGAAAGAGAAAAGTAGGCCGGTCAAAAACAACTTGGAGGAGGACCACGGAGCAAGAGACTGGGGAGGAAAAGCTGGGCGTCAGCGAGGGCAGCAGCAAAGACAGAAACATTGGAGACTGTGTATTGGGGCCTTATGTGCCAGCGGGCACGAAGAGGACAGGTGAGGTGAGGTATAAATGAGTCAACAGCTATAATCTTTTTGATGTTTTTCTGATTTATTCTTATTTCTATAACTTATTTTTATGTTTTAAATTTAAGATATGTGATTTGAGTTACAAATTGTTAGGGATTGTATTGCTGCGTCATTGCTATATTTAACTTCAGTCTAAGTTGTCACGTAGGCCATGAGTGGCATGACCATTGTTTATATAACAATTATCACTTCAACACCTGCGTTATTAAAACACTAGGCAGTGGAAGCACATATAAACGTTTTTGTTTAAACAGTCAATTACAACCAAGAAAATTATCAATGGATACCAAGAACTGTTTAATTACTAAAAGCCAACTTTTCGACATTAATATCGCTTGGGTATGACCTAATTCATAACACGCTTGGATTGGAAATAATTAAAAAGAAAATAATCAAGTATTATTACCTCTTTTTAGATAACTATTACAAAGATTAAATTAAAATGTTCATTCATGCACACTTGAATATATGTAAAGTGAAAAAAACTGACGTTCTACTCTCGTTTGTGATTCGTAAATTTTTTATTTTATTTTAAGTTAATGTACTAGAACAAGTAATGTCACATCCGATTTCTGCGTTTTTGGGATGCGCTTTTTACATAGGACCAGCGTTTTTTTCAGGATTTTTACCCCCAAAGTTGGAGGTGCGTCTTTTACAACAATGCGCACAATACTCGGGATTTTACGGTAAGCATTTCTATCGATTTTTGTCAATAAAAATATGTTCCCCCCTGTGTCACACAAAAAGTTTTCGTATGAATTTGTGAAATAACATTTCAAATTACCTGTAAAAAGGAATTTTTGTGACACGGAGGGGGGATGTTTTAAAAATATTTTCCGTTTTTCCGTTAATTTCTATATTGAAAAACACAAGTTTTACCAAAATTTTAGAGCTATCTCTCTTTGTTTTCCCAAATAAGTAATGTTTTATGAAAATCCATATAATTATCTAAAAAGAATACAAAAAATTAATCAAATATATTAACTTTTGAAAATTGACTTGGAGGTAGGCGGGAGAACAATACTATCGTTCGCAGTTCTTTCCACTTAATATACGGTAAACTGTAAACTTACTTTTTTCCATGGGTCAATCATTATTTCGCTAAAATTTTCACTTATACGATATACTGTAAACTTACTTTTTTCCATGGGTCATTATTCAACGGGATCTTAATTTGTGTTGAATCAGCGTGTAGAAAATCATGCAGATTTCTTAGACTGTTACTACATGTATATACTGTACAGTGGGCCTTCATTTATCCGGATGCTTTGGTTCCCAGTCAATTTGTCCGGATATGTGAAGCATTCGGATATCTGAATCACCAGTTAAACAAGAATAAATAGCATTTAAAAATTTCGTTCTGATGAAAAATCATCCGGATACTGAAGCATCTGGATATCTGGCGTCCGGATATCTGAAGGTCCACTGTATTACCTTTCATTTATATTGAGTACGCTTGGACAAATTTATGCCGAAAATTTGTTACCACATACATAGTGTAGATTAATAATACCACACAGAAAAAAGTACTTCTACAGTATTTATTTTTTTTCTATTTAGGATGAGAGTTCAAGTGATGAAGAAGAGATGGAAGAAGAATATTCGTCCGCCGAGGTAAAATTCTTTTATTTTCATTAAAAACTAAAACTAAGTTAAACAATCAAGCATTTCTAACAATTTAGTCATAGTCAAGGAAAAGGTAAAGATGAAATTATTTGAAGGGGGTTAAATATTCAGAAAAGTTTATTTTTGGTGGGCGAGGCATTTATTCCATGCCTGTATATTATATTTACCCCACCTCTGATAATTTTTCCGTGAAATCCTGGCTTACGATTGGTTGAAGTATGTCACGTGAAGGCGGTGGATTTCTTATACCCGGTCAGTTGTAAATCCATACCCGGTCAGTTGTAATCTATACCCGGTCGATGTATTACGTCACAAACACAAACGTGACGTCATAGTAGGCATAGTATAAGCGTGATGAAGGATTTAGCAGAGAAAACCATTTATAAACTACAGATAAAATGTAAATGTTACATCGGTGGGGTAAATTCGTTACACAGTCTTTTAGTGACAGGGTATGGGATGATACCTGGTTAGTAAATTTCATACCTGACTCGGCTCCGCCTCGCCAGGTATGAAATTTACTAACCAGGTATCATCCCATACCCTGTCACTAAAAGACTATGTAACTAATAATATCCTGTTCTTCCTGTATTGCAATCAAATATGGCTCCAATATATGAAGAAAAAATGCAGTAACTGTTTTAATTAATTAGATTTTGTGATATACATGCATCAATAAAACAATTTTTCATTCACATTGTTAAGATGTAATACCCAGAAACAAAATTCTTAAATTTGCATCATGATAAAAACAAAACCAGTACAATTGGAATTATACCTGTTACATGTTCGAGAAAGAGAGAGAGAAAAAGAGTTAAAGGGAGTGGGTTAATGAATTATATTTAGACCAGCTTAGCAGTCAGTCATATAGGGCTGGGCAAAAATATCAATATTTCAATATATTGTGATACCATTATGACAAAAAATAACATATTGCAATACGATTTTGTAATATCCATATGAAATTGGCAATATGCTTAAATTAAGGAACTTTATCATTTGATATAAAAATGGACTTTATGAAAGTTGGTTTTTAAGCCAAACAGTAAGACAGAAGTTGTTTTGTGGGAGCATTTCAGAGCATTACTTACTGTAAATCACTTTATTCGCGAGAACTTTATTTTCCCCTAATTACGTGAGACGGAATGCTCGCAAAAATTTCATGCTCGCGTATTATAGAATTCCTTAAAATTATATAGAGTAATGACCACAATTCGTGAAAATATTGTCTCGCTAATAAAGAGGCAATGACTATCTCCCGAAAATAAGGTGTTGCGAAAATGAAAATTATCTACAGTAATTGATATCAACCAGATTATTTTCAGGGTTGGTTTCATATCATAGGTATGTACATTCTGTATGTAAATTGAAGTAAATAAAGTGATAAAATGTCTTTTTAATTACTTTTAAAATATTGCAATACATATCACAAATATACACTCAGTTAAAAATATCGCAATATATCTCAATACCCGCCCTAGTTAGTCAGAAGTATCTCTGATTAAACATCAAAGCAGAATGAAGAATTTATATGCAGCATGCAAGTTCAGTAGTCCTTGAAAAGAAGTTGAAAGTGTGAAAAAGTATACAGATAACACATGACAGACAAACAGACAGGAAAACATACTATTAGGAAACTGAACAAAACAGCTCACTTATGAGCCTTAATTTATCTCAGTTGAGCAGATCAAAAGCCAAATCTTCAATTGTATAGAGCCTATTTGCAGCATGTACAGACATCATGAGGATTATATTGACTTTGACCTCTTGACCTCTTTACAGGAAGGATCGGGAACAGGAGAGGAAGAGGAAGAAGATTTCGAGGAAGAAGGAGTAAAAATGAAATTTTATCGTCGCAGTGCAGAGGAGGAGGTTTGTCCAGTGAGTTCTTATTACTGTATAAGCAGAATTTTTAGCAAGGAGTTAATTTTGGCACTATTAGTGAGGGTGCCAAGAATGCTAATATTGAATATTGCTAAATATTAATTGCATTTTATTTGTAATAGCCTCTTTTGTGAGCATTTTAAAATCGCTAAAATTACTTATTGCTAAAAATAAAACAACCATTTTTAAGGACAAATCGCTAAATTTGTGTCTCGCTAAAATTTCCACTGATACAGTAGGTATAACACCACTTGTTCCATGATAGAAGTTAACAAAATTTTCAACAGCTAAATTTACTTAAAAAGAGTTATAGTTAACATCATGTTTGGCAAGATTTTGGAATATACAGCATTCAGATTAGATAAGTTTTACTGTATGTACAGTTGAGCCATATGAATGAATAGGCTTGTTTTTCTAGAGTGAATTGTTTGGTATTATAATGAACCATACCTTGTAGCTCACCTCAGCCAAAGGCTTATTAACGTGTTGCTGGGAACAAGAATCTGTACCTATTAATGTTAAAGCAAAGACCCCACCCCACCCTTAGGCTACCTAAAAAAATCTTCAGTAAAAATTCAAAATAAATTGACTTCAGTTAGTTATATAATAATGATGCTATATATACAGGAATATTTTGAAACTCTCCTGCTCAAATAAAAGTATTGAAGTATTTAAATACTGTAGCAGCACAAATTTTCTTGGGCAAAAATTTCATTATTTTGTCATCAAAAATATTTTTATGGGCATTTAATTTCATTGTTTTGAGACTAATCCTATTCAATATATAGTCATATAAAATTTCATGTGGGATTTAATTTCGTTAGATATTGTTAACAACGAAATAAATGAAATTTAATCCCCTACGAATATATGTGCTTTTACAGTAGATATATTCATGGGATCAATTTTGTTCAAATCAAGGCCACTGGACATTATAGGGTACATGTACAAGATTTTTAATATAACGCAAAACATTTTTTTTTTTTTGTATTTTTTATTATAAATAATAAAGAACAGTAAATCTAGATTTTCACATTGTGAAATACAGAAATCTGGCTAATTTTGGATTTCAATGGAGAAACTTGACCAACACTTTTCATATACAGGTTTGACTCTGCCAGAGTATAAACATCCAAGAAAATTGAACCCAAATCAATTTCTCTCGGTAAAATGTCTTAAATGAGAAGGATGGAGTTGTTTTTTAATCTCTCTGTTAGTATTTTATCTTTCTTTTCTTGTGTTTCTTTGAGTTCTGAAAAATGATTGACAGAATTTGTTCAATCAAAATACAATACTTGTATGATTTATTCAAATATGGAAGTTGCTTAGAAGTTTTCGGTTGTTACAAAAAGTTAATTTACCCAATGGCATATTTATTTTTATTTAATTTTCAGGATGATCTCGAGGTTTATGAAGAAGCATATGAAGCCTTTGAATGTGCAGAACCTGCTTCCGAAGTATGTTAAGTTAGAGTTATTCATTTCACTTTTCATGATTATCTGTGGAAACCTGAATATAAATGTAATTTAAATCAACTATTATTTGCGTAATATTTTTATTTGCGATTCATGAATATGAAACCAATTTGTAATTGTCACAATATATTTTCATGAATGATGAAACATACTAAATACCAAGCAAAATAAATGGTTCACAGCAAGTAATATTCTTGAGATTATAGTAGGATGCAACACTTGCTGAATAGATATTTCTTGCACACAAATAAAAATCGTTTACAGTAGAAAAATGTATGTTTGTAACAAGCAAAAATAATATGCTTTGAATAAGTACATACATGTATATTGTTCCTGGATCATACTGGTCAGTGCATATTCTGAAAGGATAGCTTAATATAGACGTTTTGACAACACAGTGGCAGTCATTTTTTTTTTTCAAGATGAACATTATTTTAAAAATTATGTTAAGGATTTCACCATGATTTAATATTTATAAGACAATGTCTGAATGTTAAAATTATAATAAACGATCATTAGCTGTTAAAAACAGATAGGCCAAGGATACAGGGGTCACCTTCAGAACACTGTATACTGTAAATGTATTACATTTAGTGCGTACGATATTTGGTGGAAATTGATTTTTGAATGAGTTAGCATAGATTTGATTTAGTGCATATATAAATATATGAGCAAGACATTTAACGTTGTACTTTAATAAACGGAAGATCCTTTCCGCCAAAAACGCTAAGAAGAATACACAGCCAAAAGTAATATGTTTACAGTAATTATCATCATTTTGAAGAGGCAGGGGCTCAACAAAGAATTTACCATTACATACATGTATAACTTAAATCTTTAGAAATGATAAATGTCTCATAAGCCATTGAAAATAATTTGGCAAAGAAAAAATTTCATCAAACTTTTTACTTTTAAAATTTGATCCTTTAATATTGTTTATATCTTTAATATAGAGAGCTCTTCTTTTAAAGAGATCAATAAAGTCTGGTGGCCACATCCACCCAATCCTCTAAAAAACCCCAAAAGGTTCAATTAATTTTGTAAAATTCCTTTGACATATTTTTACCCCAAATACTGGCTTATAAAGGTTAGGTTTTCTGATACAAAAGCCTCTTTCATCTATATGTTTGTAACTGTGTAACATTAATTGTTAATCAGTCAACTTAGTGACACAAAATATGCACAGTGGGGAAGAATTAGTAGTTCCTACACACGGCAGGAAAACTAATGAAGACTCATGCAATTATTTTTAATTAACAATGAACAAGAAAAATCTACTCAGTGATGTGAACTATTTGGGCTAGAGCATATCAGTGAAAGCTTCATAATGTCTTCAAGATCTAATGTAATTGTTGAAATATTGAATCCAGGGGACAGAATAAGGAAGATGTCTGATATACCGGAAAAAGTTCTTTTGAATCCTTTTTAGAACAGGCAAGGCAAAGTTGCACATTAATTAGGGCCCCGCTTGGCGGGCGCTCTATAATGATCAGTCTGTCCGTCCATCTAGCTGTCCATCCAATATCTCTTGTCTGGAGCATATCTTCTTCTTGGCCCAATCTGGCTCATACCTCACCCACAGAGTGCTTTTGGGTAACTGGTGTGCAGTGACTTTGAACCAGATATCTAGGTCAAAGGTCAAGGTCATAGCAGAATTTTATGAAAAATCCTTGTCAGGTGCATATTTTCTCTCTCCTTGGCCCAATTTGGAAATTACTTCACTCACAGAGTTCCACTGGTCAATGGATGTGCAGTGAGCTTGGTTGAAGTGTCTAGGTCATGGTCAGAATTAGCCTCTCTGTTTAAAATCTTTGTTTGTTGCATAATTTTTCTCTCTAATTCCAGTAAATTTATATAACGGGGGATACAAGATAACTTTGATTAATATCTGTAAATACGCAATATCCGTGAAGTCGTACTAAATTACTTTTACTATATTACACAAATGTTCCTCTTCAAAATAAACCCTAAGGCTTTTAGTCTACCGGTACCTTACGTTTTCATGTTCATTGTTGAAAGCTGGGTCCTTTGAGATGGCCACCATCTCAATGATATCTAGTTTTCTTTGTTCTGCAGCATCAGATTGCTGAAATCTTGGCTCATGGGATTGGGATAGGTAAACACTTTTTAAAACAAAATTTTTAAACAAAATTTAGACATCCGTTGATAGAAACACATCTCAAATTTCACCTTTTGATGAACAAAATATTGGTATTTTCATTAAATGAATGTTCAAAATATGACATTTTTGATTAATGTTAATTAAAGACTGCTCTTTAAAAAATTTGTATATGTAACAGGTCAGAAGTGTTGCAATCTTCAACAAATAATATTTAAAAATTAGGTAAATTACAAACATTTGCCTTAAGTCAACGTCACCTATCTGCCAGTGGGATGTATGGTTCTTGGTTTAAAGTTGTAGATTTATAAGAAAAGTCACTTTAGCTTAAGAGGCAGTCCACCGAAAAACCAGGCAATAGGTGGCACATGGCATGCCATGGATTTTAATTATTTTTTGCATGTAGACTTCTTTAAGCAAGTGTTTACACATGACAACATCAAAAATTTTTTTAGTGATCCTCTAGTCCTATTATTGGTAAATGTCTAATTTTAAGTGCAAAAAGGTCAACATTAGGGTATAAAAAATACTACGTTTTTATTTTGTTTTATATGTAACAGATACTCAAAAGCTAAATGTGTCAATCAATATTATTTATAGGAAAGACTCTTATCTTTTATTTTATAATGAATAAGACTCCAAATTTTATTTCTTTAGAAAAAAATAATGTGGTCCAAAATTGAGTTTAACAAGTGACTTTTTGAATTCAGTATCCGATTTTTGATACTTTATAAAATCCAATACATTATTATGACAGAATTTTTTCCTCATGTTATTATGAATACAAAGTACAAACTTTTGAGTCACTTCATAAAATTGGTGGGAACAGGTATATTGAGGGAAATAAAAGGAGTCAAATTCACCTATTATCTACAATTTTTCCCAAATTAAATCGATCCCGATCGGAATTATATAAAGAAGAAAATACTATAATTGTATTGTTAAATTTGGCTCTTTTGTTGTTACATACTTCAAAATTTACTAAATCTATTTTTATACATGTCTTATAGGTGGCAGTTGCCTTTAATTTGATAACTTTACAAATTTTGAATTATTTTCGATCGGGATCAGTTTTATTTCAATCGGGTGTGGTTTTTAGGAATATTTCCTAAACATGGTTTTTCATTTTAATTTACCAGAGAAATAATATGCTTATCTTTTGTTTCTTTTCAGTCAGTAAAATGTTTTAGAAGATTTTGTTATTATATTCAAATGTATATGTATATATCTAAATTCCTCATGTCTTTTACGTACGAGAATTGAAGATTACAGTGTGCATGTAAAACATCTTTGATTTCTTGATACTCTGTATTAAAAAAAGACATTAGTGTTTGTACATGCATTATGCAGCAGCTGAGAGATCATTAAATATCTTATTTCCAAGTAATTTTTTTTTCTTTCATTAATGTTTTCTCAGGAATTAATAAGGAGTTAAATTCTATTAGTGGGGCACGTACCTACAGTGTAAATACAGAAAATATTTTTATGTGTATAGTCTCGGGTTTATCCAAGTTTTTTCAACCCGTCATCTGTTAATCCTTTTCCCCTATATATTCTTTCACAAAATCTTATTTTATGTAAATAAAAAAAGTTCTTTTATACACATCATTATTTAAGAGCCCATAAATCGCAAGCAAAAAGCACGGGGGGGGGATCATGGCATCATTTTTTCAAAAACTGGTTTCATGAATATAAAAAACGTTTTAGAATTGGTCAACATAGCCACATATTTTAACTCCATATTAAAAGTGAGTGTGTAATTATTTCGATCCCCTAATTATAAAAAAAAAAATAATAAAAAAAAAACAGAAACGTTTCACTGAACCATCTTCCGTTTTAGTGTCAAATTGAAGTGGGGAGTTCAGCAGTAATCTTCCGTAATAAATATTATTGTAACTTAAATTATTTATCAGATTTTTTTTTTCATATTTTCCGCTGCTTGTTTATTTTTATTTGACTGCAAAGATAAATATATTAAAGATATTACAAAAAATGTATCATGATGTAAACATCTCAACTTCGTTAAATTAATTTTGCGTAAATCTAAAATATTCACGATTCCTTGATAATCAGGAAAAAAAAACTTTCACATCCCAATAACATAAGAAATATTTGGTATAAACACTATAAAAATTAACTAGCTTTGCGCATATCCTAGTATTAAAACATGTATATGAAGATATAAAAATATTATTTAACATTTTGGATAATGCACTGTGTAGAGTAATTGAACAGAAAAGGGGAAATTACTTATTTTTAATTATTTTTCTTAGCACTTTTACGCAGAGAATTTACAAACTTTTCTGGAAGTCTTGTAACTATTTGATTGTGACGCAGTATTAGTCAGGCATATGACGTCACTGATGCATCAATGGAAACGTGGATTCAACCTGAATAATACAACCCATTTTTATCCAAATATTACGTTTGAAGGCGTAAATGAGTTCTATTCTGAAAATAAAGTAGTTATTTTTTGTTTAATAATTTTCTTTAGTGTGTCGATTCTAAATATTTCTCTTGGATTCCGATAGTAAGGTGTGTTTCAGATTTACCGATTCCACGGGAGATAACTCTTGCACTGCAAAATTTCATAAAAACGTCTATATATTTTGCCAGAAAACTAATTCAAAAGTGTTTTTCCCACCGATTTTATTTTTGAAACAGAAAGATGAAATATTTCTAGATTTAGTTCAGCGTGAATTATAGTACTGTTAAAAATGTATTGGAAGTTACAGTTCTTTGTTTCTGACCTAAATTCAATGGTTTATATAGGGGAACCCAATAACACGAAAGAAACAGATATTTTACTAAATAAGTAATTTTCAAACAAATCTTCGATTACATTATTCCATTTGGACTACATTGATATTGTTTTCAATAAAATATCAAATATTCCTCACATTCGATGTGCCGCCTATCAATACAAAACTGCCTGGTTTTTCGGTGGACTGCCTCTTAAATGTTTTTTCATTCTCTTCCCAGGAAGAAGCTATGGACGTTGATGAATTGTGTTTGGAGTCTGAGGTATGTTTTAATTACGATATATTTATTTAGTCCCATGATTACTACATGTAAGTGAGATTGAGAGTGTATAGAAACAAAATTTGTTCAATCAATTGAAACCAAAGGAATACTTTGCAGTATATATAGCTAAGTACTGTAGTTAATACCTGACAGATATTTGTTGCTTAAAAATGACTGAATTGCTACACAGTGAACATGCTGTAGGCCATATTTAAGGTGGACAAAGATTTGCTGAAAATATTATCATGCTTGTTTACGTAAGGGATAAATAAGGATGAAAAATAAATTTTTAAAAATAAATTTCTAAAGGTAAAACTGAAAATCAGATGGAATATTTGTTAACAATTGAAAAGAATAATTTCATTGAGTTGAATGATCAGCCTTTTTTTCAAAAGCTGATCATGATTGACAAGTTGACCTGTATAAAATCATATTTTACCTTTTTAATCAATAGACATAAACCGTACAAGTGGAATTTTTAGTGATGATTTTATTTTGGCATTATTAGTGAGGGTGCTGTTGATCACTAAAATTAAATATCGCTAAAAATTGATTGCATTTTATATGCATTAGCTTCTTTCGTGAGTAATTTAAAATCACCAACATTACATCTCGCTAAAAATTGAATGCCACCATTTGAGAACAAATCGCTAATTTGCGTCTCACTAAAAATTCCACTTATACCATAATTATATCTTAATGATATTTTGATGGATCAATTTGTATCTTACAATCATCTTAAGATTATTATTGATTTTAAGGTAGCTTACATGTAATTATAAAGAAACCTTTCTTCACTGCGCACTAAAGAGTTCTGATTCTATTGTATTTGTTCTGCAGTTTACTATAATTATAATGTTTTATTTTGAATCCATAAATTTCAGATTGACGATATCCACTCTAAAATGAAAGAAAATGTAGAAAAAGTACTAGAGAGGGGTGAAAAACTAGACAATTTAACTGAGAAATCACAAACACTTATGGTTAGTTGATTGCCTGTTTTATACCGTATAAGTAGAAATTTTAGCAAGGATTTTATTTTGGCATTATTAGCGAGGGTGCTGAGATCGCTAAAATTGAATGTCGCTAAAAATTAATTGCGTTTTATTTGTAATAGCTTCTTCAGTATGCAATTTAAAAACGCTAAAATAACATCTCGCTAAAAATAGATTACCAATTTTATAGGACAAATCGCTAAATTTGTGTCTCGCTAAAATTTCCACTTATACAGTATTTGCATGTTTGTTTTCCATTTAACTGGCCCAGGGTCTGTGCTTGTAAACATGAATTTGCCACTGTGGGATAACACTACTTTCATCAGAAAGCCCGATATTGTGGACAATGCAGAAAATATTCATTAGATGCAAAATAGTTGTCTTAATATTGGACTGATGAAGAATAAATTATTTAATAAGGATGCCTCCCCTGTTATCATGGACATGGGTTCACTGTTTATGAAGGCGGGGTTTGCTGGGGACGACGCCCCCGAGCAGAATTTGAGACAACCGTTGGACGTCCTCGACATCAGGGCGTGATGGTCGGCATGGGACAGAAAGACTTGTACGTCGGAAAAGAGGTCACAGGTTAGGATTCTTGTAGCTTAGATATTAAATTTTTCTTATAATTGTATAGTAATCCGAATTCAATAATAATTATCATTTAAGACTATTTTTTTTATCATTTTGAAAAGCTCTATTAACTTATAAGTAGTATATGTATATACTTTTATTGAATTCTATTGCTCACTCAGTCTTATAGTTTTCAGGTTTTTTAATATTTTTTCCCTTGAAAATTTGCAAAATTAAAAAAACTTACTAATATAAGGAATTCAAAAATTACCCATGGCAAATTAAAGAACAAATGATATTTTATTTATGAATTCATCACACTTTCCACAACATAAATAAGAAAAGGTTTCCTGTCTTGAGGATTGATTACTTTTTTTATAGGAGCAAAACCTGTGTTAGGAAAAGTATTGGAAAAGCTTTCTTCATCTTTGGAAGGTAAGACTAGATGAGTAGTAACAAACCCATGTCACCATGCAGCAACAAAATTAATATTATGAACTTTCAAGTTATAACTTAAACAACAGGGATCATATATGAGAATGGATACAAGTGATTTTATGAACCTTGCAAATATTGGCCATGCACCTGAACAAGAAATGAATTAATATTAACAAGAACACAAATAATTTAATAATAATTTTTATGAATGTCAACAATTTAAACCTGAAAATAAAATGTTACCTGGTACACTATTTAAAAACAATTATTTACAATACCATACTGACTATAACATAAGCAAGAAATGAATTTGGCACCTGAAGAGTTATGCATCAAATACTGGGGATTTCTGCATCAGAATCGGGTGAATTCATAAGAATGCTATGACGAATTAAAATGGAAAATGTTTGCAAAGAAATGTGAACATCTATGATAATGAAGAAAGCTTAAATACATAGCACTTAATGTTAATTAGTTGAGTCCATTTCAAGTGGGATTATGATGGCTTTAGCCTGAGAAACCCTGGATACATGAGTCATTTTAAACCAGGCTCCAGGATCATGAAACGAACTTAGACTTAATTAATTCAAATTTTTATTCCCAAGTAAAATATTTATTTATTATTGAATTATTATACCCTATGCAACTATTTGCGTGAGGTATAATGTTTTTGACCAGTCCGTCAGTCAGTCCGTCCGTCTGTCAGTCAGTCAGTCAGTCAGTCAGTCCTTCCTTTTTGTCAGCGCAACTCCTCATAAACCACTGCACAGAATTTCGTCAAACTTTGCAGGTATATAGGACACAATGTGTAGATATGCATATTACCAGGAAATTCTGATACCATTATTTTTTTCACAGAATTTTTTGTCAGCGCAACTCCTCATAAACCGCTGCACAGATTTTTGTCAAACTTTGGAGATGTTTAGGACACCGTGTGTAGATGTGCATATTACCAGGAAATCCGATTCCTTTTTTTTCTGGGAATTTCGGCACTTTACAACTTAGATTTTTGGGGATATCTTTAATGTAGTGGTGAACAGTTTGTCAGCGCAACTCCTCATAAACCGCTGCACAGAATTTCATCAAACTTTGCAAATATTTAGGACACAATTTGTAGATGTGCATATAACCCGAAAATTCTCCGATTCCTTTATTTTTTTTCCGGGATTTTCAGCACTTTGAGTTTTGGGGGAGCGTGGGGTATGTGAGCCTGCTCACTTTTTCTTTCATTCTCTTAAATTGTAGATAACAAAACATTTGTAAAGCAATATTGACAAATAGTATAGTTTTTGTCTGCTTGGCTTATAAAACATTTTAGAAAAAATGAAAGATTTAGACTTAAGCTTATAATGTTTCATGAATCATGATCCTGGGGCCAGACCTCTAGTGACTTTCTTAACATAAGATGTAGTATTAGTCTATGCAGAAATCTTTTCCGAGCAGGTCTGAGATTAAGTATACCAGTGCATGGGGAATAGGGGCTCCTAGGCAGCTATCAGTTTTTTTGGATTGTAAGATGAACATAGTTTCATTGATCATAAAAAAATGCTTTCATTGATAACAAAGGATAACTAGATCTCACAACTTGAAGATAATTTTTCCCTTTTTTGTCACTTGTTCAGTTAAAGAGAAATTCATGTATTAAATGATTATGAAGTATTGCATGATATTCTGATTACTTTAATCTAGAATCTGATGAAGAAGATGTAGACATGGGATTTAGTCTTTTTGATGATGATGATGAGTCATGTACGTATCACATAATATCACTGATACATTTAGTAAGTTTCAAAATTTTCTAAATTGTATTGGATAAAAATCTTTCAAAAGTTAAATTATTTTCATTATACAACTTTTTCTTTTCTCTACAGTTGAATTACCAAAGAAACAAGCACCACCAAAAGAAGTAAGTACTGTGTTTTAATTATGTTTTTATCAGAATTTCCTGGTAACAATTTATATTTACTCGCAATCAATAGAAACGCAACACCCTAATTTTAGGGTGAAAATTATATACAGGATAACTATGCACCAAAAACAAAAAAGTTATGACATCTTTTACTTTGCTAAAACTGTTTAACGGTTGAATGATTTTCATTCCATTATCATGATTATCGGAACCGAAGTTGCTTTTTAGCCCTCTTAACAAAAATCAAAATTTTGCAATTTTATTAAAAAAATTAAACAATATTTTGGGTTTTCAAGGTTTTCTATAGGCATTAACTTACAGATAAAATAAATTTAGTATTTATATACCCCCCCACAAACGAAGTTTAGGGGGGGGTATATTGGAATCACCATGTCCGTCTAGCTGTCTGTCTGTCTGTCTGTGTGTAGATGAGATTTTGTCCGGACGATTTCTCAAAAACTGTTGGAAGGATTTGTCTGAAAATTTATACACATATCATTCACCATATGAAGGTGTGCACCTGCTTTTTTCATATTAATTGGATCATTATTTTGAATTTTGCGGGTGTTTTTTTTTTCATTTTTATTTTGTGGTCTTGTGCAGACCGTTTCTCACAAACTATTGCAAGGATTTATCTGAAAATTTGCACTCTTATTATTCACCATATAAAGGTGTGCACCTGGAATTTTAAACTTTATTTGTTAATTTTTCTGCATTTTACAGGTTTTACTTTTTATTTAAATTGACTTGTTCATTTTGGGCTCATTTATAAGGTTTGAGAGATAGACTCTAGAATATCTGTACAAAAATGTGAACTAGTATAGCTTAAAACAACTCATTAAAACTAAAAAAAAGAAACATCATCAAGTGTTTAAAACAGTTTTTACATTACATCGAAGATAATGTAAATTCATTTGTCTCTTGGGAATAATGACTGGACATGCATCCAGTTACAGATAAATTTATGAGTTTGGTGTTGGAGGTTGTTAAGGCATATCTCTTATCAAGCGTGTGTGTGTTATCAAATCTCCAGGGAATAAGGCACAAGAATTAAAGATCTCTCTTTTCTTATTCTTTTAATTGTAATTTATTGTCTGTCAAAGCACTTCATAACCGGATGACCAGCTTTTTATTTTCAAAATGAATTTGATATATCAAGATTAATTTGATTTTGTATAATGATTATTTTTTCAACAATTAGTTTGCAGAGTGTCATGACACATAATTGCAATATATTTCTTTAATGCAGAAATCAAAAGAAATGTTACGATTGAATTACAATGTATTAGTATTGATGTTTCATTTGGTTGCACTTTCACTTCACTCATTAAGAAACATAATGAGCATTAAGTCTTGTAAATTTTTGTAAGTAAATAGTGAACACCTCTAGATCCATAAGTATTTTTGAATTGGCACCTTCTCTGAAAAACCCAGCGGGGGGTATTTGTCCCTATTGGACAGTTCTAGTTTTTTTTTTACTTTTCTCTGTTTTATATCAGTCAGTGTGAATATTGAGGTATCTGCAATATTAATTAAGTTATTTGTAGTAATTTAAAATTTAAACAGTGCAAGATATTATAATCCCTGTTTTGTTAAACACAAGGGTTTTATCATACAAAAGTAGAAGTATCATCCTTTTAGTTCATTTAGGGATTGTTTCAAGGACACATTTGCAAAAGATATATTTTGATTTCATTTTATCATGAATTTATAAATATATAAATATTTATATATATCATAAAATAAAAGTTTCAGAAAAGAGGACCAACTGTTCGTCCTCCCCATCGACAGAATCTTACGAAGGTGTCACGACCACCACCCTCACTACCTGTATATCTTCCCAGAGAACAGGTGCTTGAGAGGAGACCACCCCCACCAAGGGGGGTTATGGATGACAAATTCTCAGAATCAGATGATGAAGATTATGAAAGTTTGTAATACTGCTTTTTACCATGAGATATTTTTCAAAATTATAACGATCGTTTAAGAATTCTTGAACTTTTTAAGCACTTCCATTGCACAACAAAATCTATGCTATAACTCATTTTAAAATTATTGTCTTTCTAAACAGAACCTGATGTTTTATCAGTTAAACCTGTCTATACCAGAGTTTCAATGGCGATGGCAGGAGGGATAGAAGGTATGTGTTATTTTGTGTGATTTATTATGGTAATTTTACTTTTTAAAGTAAAAATTCAAGGCAGATTAGTAGAAGTACCTGGTACACAGACATTCAATTTTGAATTTCTTGATAATTTCTTGGAAGAAAAATAACATTTAATGTATTAGGAATTTCTTTGTCCCAAACACAATTTTAGGGGTAAATATGTTCCCCATATTAGGAATTACTTTGATTACAAAGTAAAACATGATGTCTTTAAAACTTTGTTTCAACTTTTTTGTGTGGAATCCTGTTTACAATCAAAATGTAGATTGATTTATTTTCATGATGGTAAAACTGTATAAAAAACATGAAAAATCTGTCTCGATTTATATACTGTAACCATGTTTTAGGTTTGTATGTTGTTTAAAATTCCTTTAGAATATTTTCAATCAAATTGAGATACCACCACTTGCCAGTGTAGAGCTGCAAATTTTGTCCTATACTGGGCACTCAGGGCCATTAAGCAGAGAGGGATCTTTTTTGTGCCAGCACGTACTGTGACACAGGACCTTGATTTATTGGGTCTCATCCAAAAGCTTCCTCACATCCCACAGTGGAATTCGAACTCTCGATGAAAAGATCAACTTCTTACCCTGCAACTCTAGAGCAGATGTTCTAATCCCTGCTTTACAGTTTGCAAATAATATGGAGTAGATTGTTCTTACAAAGTTATCTCTTTAAAGCTCTTTTGTCTTTGTTATTTAAAAGTGAGAAGTCTGTAATCTTATGTAGCTCACAAGGTTAAAATTTTCTTTCTCGTTACCAAATGATTTTTTTGATTTTGAATATACTTAAAAGCATATAAACAATGTTATTCATACAATGTAAGTAAACTAGCAACCTTTTTTGTCTTTGCCTGAACAAATGGTTCAATTTCTATTTTACTTTTACATTTTACTTTGATTGGTTTGAGTTGATCTTTTAGCATCTCAAGTTTGAATTTTTTTCACTGAAATTAGCTTTTAGTATATTTATAGCCATATAACCAACAGTGTTTTGTTTAACTCGATTTTTACATAAAAAAAACAACTAAGGAACATTCAAAAACAGCATGGAAATGTGTTTTTTCATTATATTTAGACTATAACTACCTGAATCCTTGAAAAGGGACAAAGATGTACAGTATCTGGTTATGCTCGCAGTCTAGTTTGAATAGTTTACTAAGAAACAAACATTTTCATCGATCACATAAATTTTTTCATAAAATTTTCAAAATGAAAAATGGGCAACTTAAGAACAAAATGGGGGTAATCTTTTGTATGACAATAAAGGATAAGTTGATGAAATAAGATCTTACTGTAATTATAGCAAGTTCATAGTTTACTTGCTTAGTTTGAGAAAAATATTGATTGTTCTGATTCAAATCTAGAATTTGAAGAAGAGGAAGACCTTTTCTTTGGGTGTTTTGGTGATGAGGGACCAATTATGTATCTATATAATTATATAGTACATACTCTGATAAGTTATTAAATTTTCTAAATAAGTAACTTTTAATTAAAATCTCCCAAAAACTGAATTTATTGATTCTCCCTAGGTGAATTGTCAAAGAAAGAACCATCACCTATAACAGTAAGTACTTATTTAGCTTAATTGTTATAATGAAACAAAATATACTACAAGCATGATAAGGAAAAAGATTTAGTGTGTGTTCTGATTAATTAATGTCTTCTAGGAATGCAGCTACAACTGTATTAATAACATCACTGGTTTGATTTTTTTTTTTGCATAATGTTATATTTTCATGTGTACATATAAGCTATTTTCAAATTTACCCTACCTAGTATAATAATTTTCACTATATCATGCTATATGTTACACACATTTTATATATTAAATTTCATATAATCTTTATATGAATGATTTCTAATTTCTACACTGAAAAGTAATTATTGAACATTTCTGCTGATAATTAGAACTTAACAAATAGCATAAGATATGAATGGGTCATTATGAACAGTAAAAGAAATCATCTCGAAGCTCTCATCTTAAGTTTGATAATAAAAGTCATCTGGTAAGGATATAAGGTTCTTCAATTATTATAAAAAAAGAATTTGTTATTAAAAAAAAGGGTACATGTAACTTTCGAGAAAGCTCTTTTGACAATACTAGTGAGTGGGTTTTTCTCTTGCACGTTTGGATCAAAGATGTTATATTATTCAATCATTAATATTTTTATTTGAGATCATATAGTGTAATATACATTTATTGAATATATTGTATCAGTCAAAAGACCTGAATATTTTTCCCAAGGTACTTGAAGCAGCTAGATGTGTTATGACAACAGGGGATGCTTACTACTCCAAGACACCCAATCCCACCTGTTTCCAGGGGCCCCTGTTTTCAGCCCTCTTTATATTTGCATAACTGTATAAGTGGAAAATTTATCAAGAATCAAATTTAGCAATTTGTCCTTAAATAATTGGTATTTTATTTTTAGTGAGATGTAATTTTATTGATTTTTAAAACCTCACTTAAGAAGCTATTACAAATAAAGCGCAATTAATTTTTGATATTAATTATGCCAAAATTAAATCCTCGCTAAAACTTCTGCTTATAGGGTACTTATATACCGTAGAAGTACTTTTTCCCATGTAGTATTAATTTACCCTATGTACGCGGTCACAAATTTTCCGCGGAAATTTGTCCAAGCGTACTTAATATAAATGTTAGGCATAT